CGAGGCGGCCATTCCGCTTCCTCCTCCTCCCGCTGTAGCGGCGGCTGCGTCCTGTCAGAGCTGTTGCTAGGTGTGGAGGCGAGGATGGCGCGCGCGGCTCTCGTCCCCTTACTCCCGACCAACCCCGGACTGGCTTCGGGCACCGGGGGCGTCTCTTTGAGAAGGCGCCGTGACAAGCCAGGCAGGCCGGACGGACGTCGCTTGGAGGGCGCCGGCGGCGGCAGGAGGCGGGGAGGTTAAGAGGCTGCTGCAGGGGTGGCGGCGGTGCGGAAGGAGCTGCCTGTAGCGCTGCCGGCTGGCGCGGTGTCAGCGCGGCCGTGCGGGACACGCGAAGCGGCATGGGCGTGGGAGGTGCAGGGGCGAAGTCGCGGCGTAGCTCCGCCTCGCCTGGTTCCTGGTTGTTTCCATTGGGAGCCGAGCTGGGCCTCGAAGCCACGACCTGCCGGGCTGCGGAGATGGGCGTCTTGGCACGATGCGATCGTCACCTGTAGGATCTTCTCTCTCCCTTTCCCATTTTTTCAGGTGCGCCAAGCAAACGCCTTGGGAGTTCCAAGCGTGCCCCCCGAGTTGCGTTCTCCAAAAAAAGGACAGAGAACGGTGCCCGCTGTGAAATCCGGGCAGCGAGAATGAACTCGCTGATGGGAAATCAGAACGGTGCTCTCTTTAAGGGCGTTGGCTTTTAGTTTCCTAGTCTGTTTTCACACAGGGGTTAATAAAGTTCAGGAGGAAATCCCACAAAACTCGTGCGCCTTATCCAGAAGTAAATGTCCACAAGTGAAGGAAATCGCTTCGTTCAACAAGAATTTTGGACCGTGATTCCTAAGCACAATAATTAGGGAGAAAGTCTTACTTCAGGGGAGACAGGTTGTAGTCCACTGGTGCCCTAGAAATAATGACAAAAGGTACTGGAAAATGTGATCACTCCCTTATTTACAGCAGGCAACAATAGAGATTGTCTTGCGTAGGAGGTTGGCAATTATTTAGGATACCTTTCCTGGTTCCTAATCTGTGCTACAGCCTGCAAACTACTTTTGGGGGCGCAGATAGGAATGAAGTAATATAACTGCTGCAAAATAAAGAACAGGCTTGTCATTTTAAAAGTACTTGTCCTGCCTTGAGTGCATATTTTCATCGTCCAAACTGGAGTAATTCAGTAAAAATGTAACCAAATGCCACATCATGCTGTCCTGTAATAGTGGAGTGGACATTCTGTTCTGTTTTATAGCTCAGGAGGGAGGCCTAAATAGAGGGTGGGAAGAGGATAAACTGAAAAGTTTTCTAAAGAAAATTCCAGTCTTCTGCTTAAAAAAGTATGTGTAGTGTACATATATAACACATAATGCTCACTTCTAAAAACTCAGATTTGTTACTAAACCAATTAAGGTGAATAGGCTGTTTGCCAGCAGAGTATTCAGGAAATCAGAATGTTAGCATCAAGGAATCCTATTGTTTTCAGGGGACTTTCTGAAGAATAATTAGCAGCTGCACAGATTTAGGCCTTTCAGCAGTTAGAACAAATTCCAAAGTTCCCATATTTTTAATATTTATCATACAATATGTTTTGTTTCAAAGTTGATGGGTTTCAGTCCTGTATCTGTTACTTATCAAGCTCAAGCTCAACCTCCTGGCAAAGGGCCCACCATTTACTAGAGCCAATCCACCATCTAGAGTTGCTATCATTCTGTCACTAGTAGCAGCTGATTTCTTCATCCTTACTAATAGATGCAATGAGAAGGAAGAACTGGTTGCTTCCTCACTTAGTTTGAGCCCAAGCAACAGTAATGCCTATTTGACCCACCATCCCATTGAGTCAAGAGAAAGAGTGAGCAAGTGGCTGCATTGGTTCTTGCTCTGGCTGCCAGTGTGGCTCTGGAAAAAAGGAAGATGATCTGGTTGTGGTGGGGAGTGTGAATTACAGCAGCATTTGTAATAGCTGGAGCCCTTTACAATTCAATAGGGAGGGGAAAGAGTGGCCAGTGGGAGGTAAAGTCAACTAATTCTCATGTGGTACCACTTTTCTTCCCATTCAGTAATAAGAACCTCGCAGTACAATTCCATAACAATCCCTTGGTTCAGTAAGCTTATGTGTTATATATGTACACTACACATACTTTACTCTTTGCTGGGAGAAAAATGTTCCAGCTTACCACTTTTTCCAGCTACCCTATCCTTTAATTAGGGCACTATACTAGGTGAGAAAGTTCATGCTGAGGAATGCAGCAGCATGGGTAGTTATGAGCATACTACATATAGCTATATACAGTGGGGCAAAAAAGTATTTAGTCAGCCACCAATTGTGCAAGTTCTCCCACTTAAAAAGATGAGAGAGGCCTGTAATTTTCATCATAGGTATACCATGATTTGCAAATAAATTCTTTAAAAATCAGACAATGTGATTTTCTGGATTTTCCCCCTCAACTATGAGAGACAAAATGGGGGGGAAAATCCAGAAAATCACATTGTCTGATTTTTAAAGAATTTATTTGCAAATCACTCAACTATGAGAGACAAAATGGGGGGGAAAATCCAGAAAATCACATTGTCTGATTTTTAAAGAATTTATTTGCAAATCACTCAACTATGAGAGACAAAATGGGGGGGAAAATCCAGAAAATCACATTGTCTGATTTTTAAAGAATTTATTTGCAAATCACTCAACTATGAGAGACAAAATGGGGGGGAAAATCCAGAAAATCACATTGTCTGATTTTTAAAGAATTTATTTGCAAATCACTCAACTATGAGAGACAAAATGGGGGGGAAAATCCAGAAAATCACATTGTCTGATTTTTAAAGAATTTATTTGCAAATCACTCAACTATGAGAGACAAAATGGGGGGGAAAATCCAGAAAATCACATTGTCTGATTTTTAAAGAATTTATTTGCAAATCACTCAACTATGAGAGACAAAATGGGGGGGAAAATCCAGAAAATCACATTGTCTGATTTTTAAAGAATTTATTTGCAAATCACTCAACTATGAGAGACAAAATGGGGGGGAAAATCCAGAAAATCACATTGTCTGATTTTTAAAGAATTTATTTGCAAATCACTCAACTATGAGAGACAAAATGGGGGGGAAAATCCAGAAAATCACATTGTCTGATTTTTAAAGAATTTATTTGCAAATCACTCAACTATGAGAGACAAAATGGGGGGGAAAATCCAGAAAATCACATTGTCTGATTTTTAAAGAATTTATTTGCAAATCAAGGTATACCTATGATGAAAATTACAGGCCTCTCTCATCTTTTTAAGTGGGAGAACTTGCACAATTGGTGGCTGACTAAATACTTTTTTGCCCCACTGTAGCACCATTACTTTGTAAACTGGCTTCTGGTAGGCTTCCAGGTGCAATTCAATGTGCTGGTTATCACCCATAAAACCCTACATGGTACAGAGCCAGGTTATTTGCAGGATTGCCTCTCTCCCATTAGATCTCCCATCCCACATGCTTTTCCAGACTGGGCTTGCTCCAGACCTTTTCTGTGTATCAATGTCATTTGGTTGGAGCTAGGAAATACACCTTTTCCATGGTAGTACCCACTCTGTGGAGTGATCTCACCCCCCAAGATTTGTTTGGCCCCAACCCTGCTAGCCTTTCAGAAGGCATTAAAAACCCAGTTTTTCTCCTGGGCATTTGGATCAGGAAGTTAGAGGTGTCCATCTTGGGAAATGGCATAATGTGTTTGATGGCCAAAATGTATGTCTGTTTTTAAATTTTTATAACTCTTGATTGTTGTTTTTAATGTTATATTAGTCACACTGAGTTGCTTGGCCATAATCAATAAACCAATAAATCTCTATCTCCTTCATAGAATCATAGGGTTAGATGGGACCTTGGAGGTCTTTTAGTCCAACCCCCTGTCCAAGGCAGGAGCCCTCATACTATCTCAGGTAAATGGTTGTCCAATCTTTTCTTGAAAACCTGCAGCAATGGAGCAACCCACAACTCCGGGAGGCAAGCTGTTCCACTTCTTAATAGTCTCACTTTCAGGAAATTCCTCCTTATTTCCAGGTTGGAGCTCCCTCTAATGACCTTCCACCCATTGCTTCTTGTCCTACCCTCAAGTGCTATGGAGAATAAATTGACACCCTCTTCCCTGTGGCAGCCCTTCAAGTATTGGAAGACTGCTATCATGGCTCCCTTCAGTCTTCTCTTTGTTAAGCGAAACATACCTAGTTCCTTTAGCTGTTCTTCGTAGGATTTAGCCTTCAGACCTCTTATCATCTTTGTTGCTCTTCTCTGCACTCTTTCCAAGGCCTCAGCATCTTTTTTGTATTGTGCTGACCAGAAACCAGAACTGGATGCAGTTTTCCAAATGTGGCCTCACCAGTGTGGTGTAGAGCAGTACTATCACTTCCCTTGATCATGATCACTATCCCTCTGTTGATGCAGCCCAGGACTGTGTTGGCTTTTTTGGCAGCTGCAGCACACTGCCGACTCATATTTAAGCGGTGGTCCACTGGGATACCTAGGTCCTTCTCATAGGCACTACTGTTGAGCCAGAACAAAGGAGGGAATACCCTAAAAGTTGTCTTCTGGAACATGGAGTAATTGCTTCTCTGTGTTCAGCTCTAAAAAAGAGAGAAAGAGGGTGGGTGGTATTGGTGGGATAGTGTATTTATCTTACTTATTGTGATGGAATGGAATTGTGAAGGCTAGGCTCAGGGAGATAAACATTTTCTTAGCTCGCTGGAGGAGC